GCTGAACGTGGTTCAGCTCTGGCCAGGAAATGGGGCGGTTGTTGGGAACTGCTCCTTTCTACAATCGGTGTTCGAGAACTGTTTGACTCTTCAATGAATGTATGGCATAACATTGATAAAAAGAAATCAAAGATAAATTTTGAAAATTTGATATTTAGAATCGGGGTGTTTTTGACAGAGAGGGATAACAATCAGACAAAATACATTTGAAAGGATCCACATTATTCCTAGCCTTTCAGCAAGGACTAGGGGGCAGACATCTGTTTAAGGTTCAAAAATTCTGTCTGACCTTCTTACCGACATGTAACCTTTGTAAATAATGAACTCCCCGTCACTGTAAAAATCCAGGCAGAGGCTGCCTGAGCAGCTCTCTAACTGTAGTAGTGTGTGTTTACCATTGGGCAGTTGGAAAGGCAACTTCTAAGATTATTTCAGTTTTGAATGTGGCATTTTCAGAACGGAGAGTTGATAAGAATGTATTACAAAAAGCTTAACAAGAACGAGTCCAAGACATCTCAAACCCATTGCCAGGGTTTTCTCTGCCAGACACCATCCTGAGCCTGCCATCTGTGAGCCAGGCCACAAAGCCCAGTCACATGAGAATGAACATAATTTGCCCCTCCTGTCTGATTTGGCATAGGGCCCAGCCCTTTTCCCCATGAAATGGTACACGCCCAGGTCTCTGACGATGGAGCTGGTCTCACAGCAGCCCTGTGAGCGCTGGTCCAGCCCAAGGGGTTTCCTGCGTGATGTTTCCCAGGACTGCAGGCTGTTCTCAGAGCTGATCCCCCCCTAGGCTAAGCCCATGGAGCTCATCTCAGTTCCAGACTGAGCCGGAAGCCTCAGAGAGAACTCAGAGCTAAAGAAATCCACAGGTTTTACCAAGCACTGCTGAGTCAGTAATGAGCCAGTTGAGGGGAGTATCAGCAACAGCAAGACACAACTGAGCAGCCGTCTCATTGTTCCGCCTCATCCCTAAACCGTCTGTGTCTGCCTGTCTGTGTCTGTCTCCCTTTCAGGACCAGCCTGGCACCACTTCATGGCCTGCCTCCTTTCTTCTAATCTTGCCTCCGTGGCCTGTTCCATCTACTCCAGATTAACTGAGAAACATTGAAGAGTTTTTAAAACCTAGGAAAAACAGACGTGTTAGATACGAAGAATACAGGGCAGTACCTTCCTCAGTCATATCCCTCCTGCCATCTCCCGTTCCCACAATGAGTTTTATAAGTATTTTGCCAGAGAGACATTGCACTCCCAGTTGTTATCATTATCAGACATTTCCTTATTATCTGCGG